GAGAGAGATTATGTAAGTTTTTAAACTAAATTAAAAGGGTAATTCTTTTTTTATTAAGATATTATTTGTTAAGTTGTGTACATATCGATTAACTCGCAGATCAATGATTTTGATGAGATTGAGGCTGATATAAATGAGCATATCAATGATATTCAGGATCCGACGGTGTTAGGGATCTTCAATAGGATTAGACAGAGAATAGCAAACATGTTTCATAAAAATAATATCGACGAGTTTGAAGGCCGTGAGGACAGGTCACGCCAATTTGGTCAAGTGTACACGTGAAGACGTAGGATAGGTCAAAGGGTAGCGCGTGACGATGGAGCTGACACTTCTCATAGCACAGCGCATGCTGATGGAGCCGGAACTTCTCAGCCTCATACATAACCAGATACTCAGATCATTGAGGCTCATCGGCATAGACAGAGAGGCCGGGAGCGGAGACAGGGGGAAGAGTGATGTGAAGGGGTAATAGAGGGAGAGGAAGGAGAGGACTTTCGGGATGTATGTGAAATTTAACAATATGATTATGAATTTCAAGAACGATATGGTTAGATTATTCAACTTTGTTACTTTTGTGGATCGATTATTGTTTATATATGTGATTTTTGTATGTATTGTTTGATTCATGGTTGAATTTTATGAATATTGTTGTAATTCACTATATATGTGATTTTCATGTGTATTATTTGGTTCATGTATATTGTTGTGAATGAGGTGGAAATTTAATGTATATTATTATGAATGAGGTGGAAATTTCATGTATATTGTTGTGAATGAGGCGGAAATATTCATGTATATTACTGTGAAATTTTTTCATGTATATAAACAACATGCACACATTCTATGCATGTTTTTTGAAACCTGCAACTCCACGGGACTTCAAGTCCCATGGAGTTGCATGCTAAATTCCAGAGAACAATGCTCTCTGCAATATGGCATGAAGCTTCAAGGGACTTGAAGTCCTGTGAAGCTTATAACTTCACGGGACTTCAAGTTCCGTGAAGTTTTGACGCTCCTAATCAAGTTGGTTATGTGGGCTTAACCTTCACGGGACTTTAAGTCCCGTGAAGTTTTTTATGTTTTTTCGCTAAATTCGACCCAGGTTTAGCCAGTTGGTGGCTGAAACTGGGTCGAGTTTGACAAATATTTTCGAAATAGATTATTTTTTACAAATAAGTTTCTAAAGAGGTCTAAAACGAAAATTTGTCCAAAGTTATATCTCTTAAGTTTTAGATCTGGTTGGTCTTTGATTCAGATCTATTATATCTAAAACAATAAATACTGAATTAATTGTAGACGAAACGAAACTATCAACTCGATATCTTATTGGGTTCAGGTCATTTCTGATCCGATAGTCTCTATCAGGTTCAAATTTGGGATCCTTACGGAACTTGGAGCATATATCCATCTGAATCCAACCTGTTAGCAACCGTATTCGTAAGTGTTGACCTAAACATATAATCATATTATTTAATTTAAGAAGAAACTCCCCATCACATTTGTCCGAAGATTTCGACCCAACTTGATGCTTCTTCAAATTTGGCTGTCTGACTTATTGCAAAGGAACACAGTCTTTGTTACGCATGTAGTATTTTCTATAGGTTGACAGCTTCAAATCGCTTATTTTATATATGCTGCACGCAACATATTTTCAATAATTTTAGGTGAAGTTAGAGTATAGCCACAGCATTCCACAAGGAGCCAATAATAAAACAAAGATTTGAGTAAAATGTCTGAAAACACCAGGTCATCCAGGTGTGCGCTTGCTTCATGTTGTATAGTCATGAACCGCCAATCATCAAAAAAATTATCCAGCCTTTCCCCTACCTCTCATTTAGAGAACTGGACAAGTTTCTCGCAAGCTATAAAGAAAGATATGGGGCATTCTGGTGACTGACCAGTACTGAGAGAATAATAAGCTGAGTCAAGCTCCACGACTTGATTCGTACTCTGCAGATATGATTCAGAATGATTCAAGCTCATTTTAGCAAAAGGAAGGAACTCTGCACATCATATCCTTCTCCTTTTATGTCCTCTCACGTCTGCATCCTGCCTCCTCCGCCTTAGCTTGTCCTCTGTTGAGTTTTGTCGTGGTCCGGTTCGTGCGCTGGAGGTTTTTGGATGATCGAATTGGTGTGTCTCCTGATGATTCATGGATATTCGTCGGGGGGTTGATGTCAGGTTGACGGTCAAATATTATTCCTAAGTTTGATGGGTTTTTGGTGGATTGATGATGAAGAGATACAATGCAAGTCGATCGGTCGGTCCAATACCATGTTACGAAGTTCATACTAAAATCATAGCATGTCATGCTTCAATCACCTTAAGTTGTCATGGAAAAATGGATGTTTAGGAAAAATGTTAAAGAATGCAAGTTGTTGAGAGGATTTCTTTTCTATTTTTTATTTTTTTTGTTACAAAAATACTTTTCCTATTAGACATTCATAACCAATCATTAGCTGAAGAATAATTCACAACTCTCCACAAGGGCCAGGGTTAGGGGATATTCCAGATAGCACTGAACTCTCTGTAATCAACACAGAAGATGAGAGAGTAGTACCATCGAAAATCAAGAAGCTTTTGAGTTGGCACATAATTGTAGTAGCAAAAGCTAGCAAAAGAAACAAAGCTATAGCCACTAAACCATGAGCTCAGGCTTGTCTCAAGAGAAAATATTAGTTTCAAAAGTGCACTTATGAGCTTTATTATCTTTTTGCGTTGGTGCATGAATATGGACGGAGGCAAAAAAAAATAAAAAAGGTTAATAATAGATGAACCTTAACAAAGCTAGATGAAGAAAAGGAGTTAGTTTACTCAGAAGTTTGGAGAATCCGCTATTTCTGGTGTCGCACCACAACAAAAGGAAAAAAAAAAAGCGTCTCCATAAAACTGAAAAGTGTTTAGAAAGCTGAATAAAAAGGGAGAGAGAGAATACAATTGATCTAGAAAAACTAGACAAGATGGCTGACTATATATGAAAATCTAGGCATCTTTCATGAGAACATTGAAATTTGTAGAAATTAGGCACTCTAAAACAACAAAAAAAGGAAGCGAGGGATATGCAAGGAGTCACGTGATTTGATCTTCTCCTGTCTTTCCTTCTTCTATGAATCTAGGCTTACATAGCCATGATTTCAAACTTTTGTCGAAAGCAAGATAAAGGAGAATGCAGATCATATCAACATTCTATTTTGTCTCAAGCTCAGATTTTTTTTATCTGTATATCCTTTTCTAGCTCATTGGCTTCCAATCCATAAAACCATTTCGGTCGTATATAAACTGATTTCTTCGAGCATGAATATATATTTATTCGTTCTTTCGACATATTAACCTAGATTTTTTTTTTGCTACAGACACGCTTCGAAGGTTTATGGTGTTGACGATGAATCTAATGCGTTTTGTGGTACAATGTTGCGTATCACCATTCAACCTTCTCAGTAGTCATGCACAATTTCCGTTTCGAAAATAATAGAAGCATGAGAATAATGAGAATAATGAGATTTCTTTTTTCCTCTCCTTTATGTCCGCAATCAATCATGATTATTTCCATCACCCGACACCACTTAACAAAAGAGCTCAGAGGAAGCCCAAGTACTACAATCAGTCTCCAAAAAGCAGCGAGGTCCAGTGGGCATCTCTACCATCTAATCTCTCATTAAGCAAAAAATGATCACCTTCTATTTACTCTAAAACAGATGGGCGTAGAAACTCTTGAACCTTAAACCCATTTTGAGACGAGTGACGTAATATGAAGGGCAGCATGAGCTGGATTAGTCCCTTGAACTTTGAACTAATCGTTAATCTTGATTCCTATGGAAGCTGAGGGAGGAAGAGTTCCTAGTAAAGCTGCTGCAAGCAACTCTTGATTACTGGGAAGTGTTAATTGCACATAGGCCCCCCTGCAGTATCGCGGTTCGGAACTTATTACTCTCATAGTTTAATTTTGGCAAATAGATTCCCTGTGTGAAATTGCAGTGGATATCACCCCAAAGTGAAATTAACGTCTACCGGAGAATCTAATCCAGGGAGTCCCATCTCCTGAAATCGAACTGCACGGGTAGTAAGTTTCAGGGCGTGATACCACAGGAGGTGTGCAATTAAGAGATTAATGCGTAGATTCTTCAAATCTACACACTTTACATCCTTTTGTTAGTAGATGATGCATGCATTCTTGGCGCAAAACAGGACAACCTACGCCCAACAATGATTCTGTCCACCACAACGGCAAGTCTTCACTCCAAAGCTGCTCCATCATTGTGACAAATCTCAGCCATTGACTGTGTGTAGGTGGTAGGATCCATCTACTCATCATGACCATGAGGAAAACAAATGGGCTGGATCCCTCTTCTTGATGCATCAGAGGTTGGCAACTTTGTCAAGTGGCAACCGACCGTTGGCGTTCCGTCGAGTGCGACCCGTCCACGGTGGCACTGATTGGACTCAAGTGTTGACTCTGTGTTACACCTCCCACAGGTGGCTTGAGGGCCCTATGGTTTGTATTAGGGCTCCTTAGTGGAACCTTTTAGTGCCCTTGACATGCAATGTGGCCAGGAACCTTTGATTTTAATTGTGCACAAATTTTGCTACCCTGTTTCTTTAGCGGAGCCTTTCTGGATTTGAAATGAAAGCAGAAACCTAGAGCACGTGTTGCCCTGCAAACAACCAAGCATATCAGAGCAAATTCAAGAACAAGGCACTGCTGCATCCAACTGCATTTCTTTCAGAAAGAAGTTGCCATTTCAGAATCAAAAGCATAAGGTATACAGTACTAAACATCTCCAGATTACCTGCTTCCATCGTTTTTCTTGTGAAAGTTATTCGAGTACAAAACAATACGACAACTCCTCTGGAAACTGCATAGACGATGGATATACATACAAACCTGAAGAGTGAAAACATATGTAGAAATAGAGCAGAAACAGAGAAACAGGCAATGCGTAAACAGAGAACATATGTACGACCGATTTGTTTCAGAAATCACCTAGAGGTCAAACTTGAAGAGAGGGCACTTATCATTCTCACTTCTCTCATTGTTTGAAAAATTCAGTTACAGCAGACAACTAGAGCCATTAAAAAATCCGCAGAAAAAAGAAATCCATTGAAAGCTACAGGCACAGAACACAAGAACTGACGTCGCAATACGGTTCAGGTTACATGATCCAATATATTACATAGCACATTGAAGAGAAAAACGGGATAACCAACATCATAGTCAGCTTCTTCCCATTATACTTCTCACCCGTTGGAAAACACGAACATATTCAAAGAAAAGGTTAAAATCCATGTCATTTTTGGGAACCCGATTAAACTCACCAGGGTTCGAGCCAATGATGATGTCGAACCCATCAAACTGATTTATGCAATTCTTTAACAGCTGCATAGTCAGCTTCTCAATGCCTCCTATTTGCCTCAATTCTCCAGTCTGCCCTGTGCTCTGCCACCACCTCTTCAAGATCCTCCGATTAATTTCAGATGCTTCGACAGAAACGACACATTTTAAATAAATTCCAAGCCTATGAAGTGCAATCTCGGCTCCTCCAACTCCAGTAAAGATAGAGAGAACCTTCAATCCATGAGGAAACATATTTTTCAACACAGAAAGATGATAACCAATTGTGTCCGTTTGAAAACAGTATTTGAGCGTTGCGAGCCTGTCAATTGGCTGTAATCCCCAAATCTCTGTGTGCTCCCTTGGATATCCTAAGATCGTCTCCACTTGGTCTGGCTCCATAGGTCTCAATTTGTTGCGGCCAACCCAAATCAAATTCAACCTTTTACACTGATGAATAATGTCAGTTTGCTGCTCTTTAGATAGAAAGCCTTGTGAATCCATCATCATCTTGCCAAGTCGTTCACAGAGTTGAACCACTCCTGTGGCTTCTGAGCTAATACAGCTTAGCTGCTTTCTTGTATCCCATGACGGCCACCATTTCTTAGTATGGGGCAGTGCATCTTCTATAGTCATGGGTGGCTTAGGAATTATATGAAATCTTCTGTCAGTGGGAAGATTGTGCAAGTAGCCTTCTTTTCTGATAAGGGCTGAGAAGAACTGAGAATTCGCAAACTCCGGCTCAGTTGCATACAAAAACTGTGATAATTTTTGCCATGTTGCTTGTGAGACATCCACGACATTTCCATAAAAAAAATAAGGAGGTTTGGATAGCATGCCACTAAATTTTGAACGGAGATTGGGTGTCCTTTTGAAAGGCACTTCCTCTTTAACCCATCCTCTCTCTGCTGGAGATTCATCATATTCACTTGGTTTCATCTCATAATCTGCTTCCCAGTCGCTAGTTCTTTGTTGTTGCATATTGTTGCTGCAGGAAGATGTATTCTCTTCCATAAACATGTGCTTAGCCTTTTTAGCTGTTTTCACATCTTCGTCATCAAAATGAGGAGCACTACAAGAAGGTTGTTTGGTTATCCATGCATCATTCAAACTTGATGCTTTTGTTATCCATGCATCACTCGAACTTGGTGCTTTGGTTATCCATGCATCAGATTCATGGCCTAGAGGCCGGAGTCCATTTTGACTCTGTCCGGTGGTGTCAGTTGCATCATCCCATAAATCCTGCACGAATCAGAAACATTTTCTTACAACATAGTACTAGAAATAAATGCAAAAGTAAATTATCTGCGCAGCATGCTACAGGTTCTGCCTGAAACAAGAATTGTAAAGTTTCATTACATCGAATTGACACACAATGAGTAATTAACCTTATAAAAATGTTTTATTTTATGATACAATTGCACTTTACAACATGCTATATGTTAAGATAAGTCACTCTACTTATAAATAGTTATCGTCTCATCGACACAATTGCAAAAGGACTATTTGAATTTATTAACAGATTTTAATTAACAGGACGGGTCAAGTTTTTTTATGTAACAAAAACGAATGTCCCAGCAAAAGATGCCTAGTAAGTAATGGAAAAGCACAAAACTATGGCATGTCCAAATTTCTTTTTCTGCCCACTACTGAAAATGCAATCAATCCCAAATTCCTGTTTAGTAATAGGTAGTACTAGTGCAGATTTTTATAGTACACGATATTGTACTACATAACACATAGTACATATCTCGAGTTAACAGCTTTGAGCACCAAAACAAACAAGACCACAATGCAATGCTAGTTTAGACATTAAGTAGCAAGTTCTAAATACTAATTAATAAAGTAACTAAAAAGAATTTCAACATTGAAGTTTCGGCATGACACGTATCCACAAAATATCATAGGTAATAACTTTGAAAATGCACAAAACTATGGCATGTCCAAATTTCTTTCTCCGCCCGCTACTGAAAATGCAATCAATCCCCCAACTCCTGTTTAGTAATATGTAGTATTAGTGCGGATTTTTATACTACACGATATTATACTACATAATACATAGTACATATCTCGAGTTAACAACTTTGAGCACCAAAGAAAATAAGATCATAATGCAATGCCAGTTCTGACATTAAGTAGTAACTAGTAAGTTCTAAATACTAATTGATAAAGTAACTAAAAAGAATTTCAACATTCAAGTATCAGAATGACACATACCCACAAAATATCATAAACAAACTACTCAGGAAAAAACAACAATATTCCAATCTCCAAAAAAGTGCCATAAATCAGATTAAAATCTAATCATCATCCTCCAGCATCTCTTCCTCCAAGCTATTACCATCATCTCTGAAATATAATCTCCGTTCCATGTTCTTCCTTTAATTATGAATCCAAAAGAGAACAGTCCTCTTCTTCCACTTCCGGATATGAAACTCTAACTTATCTTTCTTTTAACTGAAGGATCTTCTACCATCTATAGGTTATGATGATTTCTTACATTTCCAGATACTATATTGCACAAAAAACACGCTGATATGAAGAAGCCTACACAAACATGGCATGGCACAAGACACTAGCACACCTAAAATTCTAAAAAACAACCAACAGAAGTATCATACCTGATACTGAAAAGTATGTTGGACATTTGCACGCAAGACAACTTCAAAGTGTTTTTGCTACATACCTTACAAGTTCATTAATTCCAGAAGCTTAAGCTGTGACAACTGACATCAGACACTTGTGACACATCACAGTAGAAGCTTTTGTTCTACATAGCTCGCTAGCTTGATTAATTCCACAAACTTGAGCCACGGCAACCATTGGTTTATCATTGAAAAATGGTATTCGTTGCTCTCTTCCATCACAACAACCAGCTATTTTGAGCTTTAGATGTGCTTTCATAAAATGGAACCAATGCAAGCCTTTCTGCTGAATATAAATTGTGAAAGCATCGAGGATAAAGAAGAGAATATGAGAGAAGGGTCACAGCCACAACCCCAAAATTTTGTAATAAAGGAAAGATATTCTCACTCTGTCTTGGTATATTGTGGCCTACTGTAACACAACTGCATAAGAGTCACATGCAGAGAAAACAAGGGGACTGGACAGGCCCACCCAATGACTCAGTTGAAGCAGACATGAGGAAGAATGGTGTGGGCTCTATAAATTGGCATCTGACAATGTTGCCAAACCACCAAGACTAATATTTTCCCTGCAGCAATCTTTAAAGTACTTGCCCCGTAATATAAACTGAACTAATTATACAATGCAAAGCTCCCACCTCATACAAACTTCACATCTTTCACTCTTTAAAATTTCAACTTCTTTTGAAAGTTTCACAGATACACTCAATACAAGTTAACTAGTCCAACTAATAACTAGTCGTGAAGCATCCCATTTTCTAAAACTATATAAGCCTCCCATAACATGGGGCTGGTTCTCAAATGAGGAAACTGTTATTTCCAATTTAGATTAAATTATGCATTCTTTAAAAGAAAATCCTTCAAAAGCACATGGAGTTCACTTTAAGGTTACTTTCAAATTAACCCCTTCACTAGAGCTGATATTTATCATTCTACATATGCTCCTTAGTTACACTGATCATCACAAATTTACTGCTTCTAAGATGCAGCAATGAGGTGAATATCTAAATATTTAGCACGTTTAAAATTTAACAGTTCATGTTCAAAGCACATGGAGAAAGCTTGTTTAATATTTTTGAACCTTCTTCAAGCAGGAATTACTTAAGGTTTAGACATATCTAATTTTGCAACAAGTGCATGTAAATGTGATGAGTTCCATGGATTCAGTCACGATGTTATAATTTCTGTCTTTTCACAATAGTCGGAAATCCAAATAATATGAAACAATGCAAGTCCATTCTATGATGTTAAGAAACAAGCTTACAATCTTTACGTGCTCAGCTTACAACCTAATATGCACATAGCATACTAAATGTATAATTTAACTAATAAAGATAGGGGAACACCTCTTCTTTATCAACATTGAAAGCCATTCGATTAGCCAAAATTGAGTTAGCAAGCTCATTGATCGGAACTTCGGGACCTGGATATAAAGATACATTAATTGGGATGAACATAACGTGAGGTCTGCCATACATGACAATACAAATGAATCATATTAGATAAAATCTTTTCCACAGATCTAACTCGTAATACCCAATGAACAGTGACATGAAAATAGAGCTTGATAAGACTGAATTCACTGACCAAAACCAATGAGAAAAAAAGGAGGAAATATAGGCCTCATGGATGGATGAATGATGTAAAACTGCCACATGATGACCTTGATTGGAGGAAAGGCAAAGATCATAGGCATAGCATGATCAGGATTCAGGACTTGATCCAAGATCACTTGCATGATTGTAATTAAGTGTCAGTGCCCGGTGGTGGCAATATATTTGACAGTCGGAACTAACTAACTAACTATATATGTATAATGCAAAGACTCTATAATTAGTCATGATTACTAGCGGTTCTAAGGGTAGAATCATGCAAAGACTATAATTAGTCATACAATTTATGAATATATTTATGAACAACTTTTGATTGCTCGCGCACATGCAAAAATTCACAGTTACATGTATTAAATAGAATGGTGAGTTTCTAGAGGTTATGTCAATAGACATTAATGTATGAATAGATTTAGTCTTTAAATTATACAAGGGGCTAATATTGAAAGGTACACTACATTGCTGTTCAGCTATAGGTTTTCAATTAGAAAGATACGCACATTTCCCAAAATGTGCCAAATTAAATAATAATTTGTAGAGTAATGTGAGATCATATTTCATCTGTTTTGGGTTAATGTAACCCTTGTACGAATAATAAGCCCCATCAAAGCTTAGATTGAAATACATAGAGAAAGGCTTATGAAGGAGTAGATGTGTAACATCCTTTTAAAATGTTGCTTGTGCAAGTCTGTGTTCTCTTAAAACTTGCCTTATAACAGGGTTATTCAAAAAGGAAGACAGGGAGGGACAGAGGGAAAGTGGGAGGGAGAGACTGCACAGAGTGCCAATATAACTTTTAACACAATCTTTTGTTGGACCACGACAAAACCAAAAAAAAAGAATCTCAACAGCTTACATCATGATTAGAGTGCACTAATTATAAGAGAAGTTTTAACACAATCTTTTGTTGAACCATGACCAAAAAAGAATCCAACAATTTTCATTATGTTTATACACACACATGTATAACTCTATTAAGGTGCACCGATTACAATAGAATTTTAACGCAATATTTTGTTTTATCACGAGCAAAGAAAAAAATATCCCAACAAATTTACATTATACATGCGTGTGCGTGCTCTAGAGAAAAACGCATGTGTGCATGTGTGTGCACAAGTGTGAGTGTGCGTGTGCGTGTGCATGGACATGTGCCCGCAGAATGTGTCTGCATGTCTGCAATTTACGATTGATGTTTACTCATATTCTGTGCACAGAAACATATCAACAAGGCTAAAACTGAAATAAAATCTGTTTACCTGAGCAGATTATTTAGAATGGGATTCTTTTCCCAATGACCAAAGCTTCTCCAAAATTAATGATGCATCCGCAAGAAAGTAAAAGGTGAGATGAGTTTCATGGCTTAGGGGCACCCAAACATGATGATTATTAATATTTTATTTGGGTATGTAGAACATTAATAAAAATGTGTACTAACAGTTGCTCTTCTATGATTTTGACACTTCCCAGAACAGTAAGGTGGTATTTTCAGAAATATCCATCACACATACGTATTTAACCCCTCAAAAATTGCATGTACATGTGAAACAGCAACCAATTGCAATATATGCTCTTGTGCAAGAGTAAGAATCAAATTAATATGCCATCCAAAATTTATCACAGTTGGAAAAAAAATCACAAACTATAGATTCTGAACACATCTTTCTCTAAGTAAAAAATAACCCTCCCTTACCATACTTATAAATTGCTGAAGATACTTCATTCTCAGTGAAACCCATTCGAAGCAAACAGATCGTCTTATCCATTGTCCCAAATAAAGTTGCTGTAGTAGTTTCCTAAACATTTAATTAACTCATTAGATTTTGAAAATTTCCAACATTGGGATCTTAATCTGAACAAACCCACAAGGAGATCATAGTATCTGGATATTATTATGCGCTGGTGGCTACAAAAATTAAAACTTAAAATAAACTTACATGTGCATCTATCTACTACAATTATGTGACACAGAACACAAAATACAAGAACAGCCCCAAACTATTACAACTATTATAATGGTATATAATAGACAAAGGCAATTGTATGCAACCATATTTACATACAACTGTACTTACCTACTACATTCATCTAACACCCAAAAAATGCAAAGGTATAAGAATACTCCCAAGCTATTCCACAGAAAACTAATATATGGAAGAGATAATTTCTACACACAATACAAATTTACTGAAGACAAGTAGATCCAAACTACAAAAATAATTGTGCCTATGTCTACCCTCCAAAAAGTATTAGAAAAACTACTGCATGCAAGTTTCAACCAACATTATCTTAGACAATATAGTTAGCATGCACAAGTTAAAACTAGTATTCTATTAGATAATATAATTAACATGCAAGTTTCAACCGACATTATCATGACAATATATATCAATCAGAACGCCATTGTCACAGAAAAGCAATTCCTTTAACACGCACAATAAGTTGTAAGAAAGGCCTATTCAGTATTCACACAAAAAAAAGGTATGTTTATAATATGGAATTGAATCAAATTCTAAGGCACAAATAAAAGTAAGTTTACCATATGGAATTGAATCAAATTCTAAGGCACAAATAAACCCAAAGAGGCAAATAAAACACATTCCACAATTCCGATCCAAGGACACAGCACAGGACACAGAATGGTACACACTCAAGGTTTCACAAACAATAGGTAATGAATGGCTCACTGGATATACAAGTGAACAAAGTTGCAGGCTTTCTCTAAAACAACAAACCATGCATGACAAAATGTTACAGACAAACACAAACAAATCACAAATCATAAAAGTTAGCTATATGGTCCATGAACATGCATAAACATGCGCATGAATGTTAGTTGTATGGTCCATAAACATGCATAAGCATTCATTTTTGGACACAGAAATTCTTAATCTGTAACAAGGCAGATCTTAGAAGAATGACAGTTAGCCATCATATTTTAGAAATATCTCTGTTGAAATATAAAAATATAACCTTCAATCCTCACAGAAATTTCAAAAATTTAGAGTTTTGGTACAATGGTTAGGGACTTTAAGATGGTATCAAACCAACCAAGGTTCAAATCCCACCGGCCATGAATTTAAAGTGGATTTTAAAAAAATTGACACTCATGTGTGAGTCCAGGTTTCGGTCCATAAAAAGGACGGTCAACCTATGGGGGCACGTTAGAATATAAAAATATAAGCCTCAATCCTCACCAAAACATCCGAGTTTTGGTGTAATGGTTAGGGACTTTAAGAATATCCATGTTTGTTAAAGCTGAGAAGGAGATGATAAATGCTAGGGATATGAGAATCTGTGATTTAGTGACTTGGTACAACACGTAGAATAATAAATAAGACAGGACGCTGGTATCACTGGAAGTACTCTATGATAAGGTTTCAGCTGCCATTTCTTATGATCGTTAAATTATAGCAGGTCTATAATTATATAATAATCATACACTTCAGGCAGCATCATAACATAGATTACTGGTCTAGCAAGTTAACTAAAATTTAAAAAGATTGCAAGCATACAAAGTTATCCACTCAAAAGTTTCAAAAGCACGTCTGTATGCGAGTAAGGTTATGCATGTAACTACTGCACTACATAATGTCCTCTGAAGTGCACCAATTGGACCAATTGGATAAACATGCAAAACATTGATCTGAATTAAAAAAATTGACAACTCAGATGTTAATTTGACGATAAGGGTGACTTAATTATGACGAAAAGCTTTTCCACCCATTGGGTTATGATCAACAAGTGATACATATCTTATTCGTTACTTCAGAATCTGTACGCTTGCAAATGAAATATCTTAAAATCATATTTGTAGCCTGACCAGATGCACTGAGATTGAGAGCAGATTGCACTCAACAGAACATATTAAAGAGGATATTTCACTTTTGCAGAAATGACAGATACTTACACAACTGTGATTTAATGCAAATGCATTACCCACAAATTACAAATAACCTACCCAAGCAGAAAAAAGCTGAATATAAGGGAAATAATAACAGTAAGAGAAGGTAGAACCTCATCTTCCTGGCTGCTACAATCAACAGAGTCATTCTTCTTTTCTCTGGAAAAATCTGCTGTCTTGACGGTGACTATGAAGTCTACAAGTTCAGGCAAAGTAGCATTTACACCTGTTTATATGAATAGAGTAGAGATTAGGAACATACAAAGACAATACCTCTTTGAAAATAAAACGATGAACATTACAATCTCTTAACAAATAAACAAAATAAGTACACCAGCACTAAAAAGGAATTGAGAACACTTGTTAATGGGTGAAAAATCATCATTGATTCTATTTGAAAATTGATAAAAAACTTTGAATTTCTAAAGGATTGATACAGTAAAAGAACAATGTCTTTTTAAAATTATAAATTCCTTAGTAAATAAAAAAGTACAATATCAGAGGAGCTGAATAGGTGCCTAGCGTATAACTTTTTAAACCGTAAATAAAGAAGGGCAATCATTTCTGATCATTGTTATGACACCAGCTTGAATGGTCCCACAGATAAGCCAAGTTGATATCTAGTTATAATACTTCCATTGAACTCAATAATTAATCATAACTTGGAAGATTTTAGGATGAAGTAAGTTGCATGGGAGCGGGTACTGGTATGCATACGTGTACGGGTGTGGGTACGGGACACAGCAAATCTGTAAAAGGTACGGTACAGGGACATGGCTATATATTTGTATGTTATGCATATTTATATATATTAAAATTAATAATGTACATAAGATCAATATTGTTTTTTCATTTACATGAGATCAATATATAAGAAATATGTGTAGAATGTACGTCCAATAAGTGCGTAAGGAGTGTTTTACATTAACACATGTATTATAGAATTGAGTATACACCTCAATAAACTCATGCATATATTCAAGAAGTGCCCAAGAAGTTTGGGTACGGGAACAGCTTCTGAATAGAAGTACCTAGGTAACATATGGTGAAGTGAATATTTGTAGAGACTCCATATTAAAACATGGTCCAGGAAAAGTATGCCAAATGGTACACCAGCCGACACCATAGGCAATGTGGAAATTGACACATGAACCAAGTGCCACAGGGAGCTAAGTAGCATATTACATACGACTTGGGGGGAACCACCTTGATGTTCGCCCGGAGAGACTAGTAGAACCCATGAGGGGCCCTAAGATCCCATATTGACTGATGGAGCTCATTTAGCAATGGTGAATCCTAAAGTATATCACAACCCCCCTTGTGAATAATCTCATATGGAATATGCACATGTTATGTATATTAAGTCCCCACGAACTTAATGAGAGAGGTGACTTATGCTCCAAGGTGAAAAGCTCCATAGTTAAACACCATTTGGTGAAACTGTGAAAGTAATACTACAATGTATGAGCCTCTGGGTAGTCCTTATTTGAGCAGCATAGCTATTGTCATTTCAATCATAGCCATGCTCTGAAGATATCTTGTTCAGAGAAGTATAGCATAGCAGCTAGCATCAAGAAGGGGAATGTTTGTTGATAACTATATACTAAAATTATCTTGGAAATTTCTATGTTAATGTTCCCTTGTAGAAAAAGTAGCTGCATCAATCATGGGAAAAAAGAAGAAGAATTTCATTCCCTCTGCAGAATAGAATTGTTAATTTTGAAGAGGTTCTGGATGTCCTTGGTGTGAGTACATTGACTAAGATATTATATCCAATTCATCCAAACCCTCCCCCACAAACAAGTTATTCCATTTTTCCAAGCTAGCAGTCTTCTCTGTCGGAGGACTTCTATGTGAACTGAGTTGACCTCAAAGGAAGTGTAAAGATTGCTTGGCATGCAGAAACCATAAGGTTGAACTTTTGATACGAATTATGAAGTGATTATCTGACTTATCACACATAGACTATCATCTGTCAACAGCCTTTGTTTCGACAATTCCTTTTAGTAAACACGTCAGACATGAGAAATTATAGCTCTCATGGTCCTGAACAAGAAATAGAAAAACGTCAAAGCAAAATCCAGTAGTCCTATGCAGAGATTACCACTGGTAGGGCTCAGCGAAACTGCTCGCGTTGATGTGACGAACAGATATTTTCAGTGCACAATAACCAAAAAGAATGGCCTTATATGCCATGTAGACTTCATATACATTACATGATAAATGTAGCCATCAAAACGCTGATGGATTGCATCTGGAGCCTCATTAAGGATACCCAAAGCCGATGGCAAAAGAAAATGAAAAACTTTAAACAAAAGCATGAGTTTATCATAGCGAAAAACAGCATTGAAAAGTTATGAACATTTATTCGGATTTCTTCTTGCAGACTGGAAAATCATGACAATTTAGTTTTATTAAGATAGGCCAACCGATAGAGCCCATCCTATGAACTGCTGGTTAGTGGTTACCATACATAATGGCTAATCGGATAGTAAGGGAAATACAACTTTATTATTTGACGTTAGAGGTGAACAAGAGAAATTTTTTTTGTAACAACACATTGATAAGCAGATACACAAAGATTTGGGTTATGAGCAACTTTCCACACTACTGAAACACTGAAAATGTAGAAAATAGCATAGAAATATTCTTCTATGCCACTTCTTCATAGCTTAAGAATATCAGATGACTAGCCGAAAAACGATTTTCATTAAAATTAAATTGAAACAAGTAGTCATCAGACAAGGGAGATATTAGAGAAAACCATCACATACCAAGTCTGCTTATTGCTAAACCAATTTGTTCCTCTGAAAAATCCATCATCAATAAATAAGATTTCTTGTCTAACTCTGCACTTGAAGGACCACTTTGATCCTGTGAAAAATTGTACAATATCTTGGTAAGCAAAAAGATAAGCACGACAGTAAGTTTTTTAAGCTTATAAGTGAAGTTCCATTGAGTAAAATGGGCTAAAAACGCCAAAAACAAATAAGACAATCAAACATCTAGAAGCCCTGCAACCGAAGTTTGTGGAAATGGATGAATATCAAGGAAGTATTGATTTTCTCAGTCATCTAATTTCCTTATTGGGGCAACGGACGAAAACAAATAAGACAACCAAACATCTTGAATGTCTTTGGAAGAGGATGAATATCAAGGAAGTATCGGTTTTCTCAGTCATCTAATTCTGTTATCGTGGCAGTGAATGAATAAGTGGATTTGCAGCACATGTTCATGCTGTATGACTTCCATAGATGCAATATTCAGCATTGCCGAGATCAGGGACAGATCCAGAATTTTTTTCCCTATGGGGGCACATATACAATTATGTGTATGAATTAATAACTTATAGAGCACAAATTATCGCAATATAAAAATTTATTATACAATAATCGCAAAGTTCTTGACATCTAATACTTTTATCATCACTTTTGTCTCAATACATCATTATTTTTCATTTTGATCACAAAAATGAACAAAAACTACTATTTTTAATAATAATATCTCATAATTGCTGAGATCAGGGACGGATCAAGAATTTGTTTCCCTATAGGGGCACATATACAATTATGTGTATGAATTAATAACTTATAGAGTATAAATTATCACAATATAAACATTTATATACAATAATCGCAGAGTTCTTAACATCTAATACTTTTCATCATGACTTACATTTCAATACATGATTATTTTTCATTTTGACTACAAAAACTAACAAATACTACTATTTACTAACAATAGTATCTCATAATTGCTCTCTACATGGGGGGCACCAAATAAAATTTGTATTGAGCCACCTAGAGAATTGTAGACAAATTCTACTTTTTTAAAAATGTATGGGGGTACATGCCCTCACACATCCATATGTGGATCCTTCCTTGTCTGAGATCCATATAAAAACTATTAGACCTGCTATATAGACATGAAAAATCAGATGCTTAAGTAGATGCATATAGAATAGGATGTTATTTCGATATCTGTGCTAAGTTGGTTATCCAAAAATAAAAATAAATAAATAATAAATAAACAAATTTCTATAAAAAGACAACATATTATTCAGTAATGGAAAATGATACTGACATAGTAAATCAAACAAATGCCAATCAAATAGTTCAACGATAACGTGGTTGTTTAGCTGCTAGTATATTTCGAAATTAATTATCAAATTTTAATCTGTGATATCGGTCAATATATCGGGTTCTGTAGCAGCCCGCACCAATATTTACAAGTTTAGTGTTTTTTTATTTTATATTTTTTCTGATATATCAGGTGATATCCAATATATCGGCGATATCCGTCATATCGGTGGATACTGGGTTTTTTTCCTATTTAGTTTTTATGGATTTTAAGTTTAGTTCTGGGTTCCCAACTCAACCCAAATACCAAATAAAACCCTTCCTTTGCTTTAGAAATCACAATTGATCACAAAATTTGTGACCCTAATAATTTGGCGCTTGCCTTTCTCTCTCTCTCGCTTCTTTCTCACTCTCCACCAGTTAGTTCCCTCTCTCCGCCCTCTCTCTATCATCTCTCTCATCCTTTTCTCTTCACTGTCTCCCTCTCCTCTCTCTCTCTCTCTCTCCACCCTCTCTTCCTCACTCTCCTCTTTCAGTTTTTCTCTGCCCTCTATCTGTCTTTCTATACCTTTGTTTAATCTATTTCTCTATATCTCTTTGAAGGTTATGCACTAAGAAAGTTTTATAATGCGATCAAGAAGCAAGTTTCTACAATCTGTTAGTTACCCTTAAAATATATCATGATGCATTTTTTATGTTTAGGAATCATCATATATGTTTAGATTATGGAGTAGAATATTATGTTATGTATGAACATCATCCAATATAACACCCCAATATTTACTACATATCCCTGAAATATCCCTAATTTCCACAATCTTATATCGAATTTGGCCCTTTGATATTTATGTGATATCTGATATTTAAAACAATGACTTCAATATATACATTTGAACAATTTTATGAATTACATGTCTCAGTACTGGAACTTATATGTCTGTGTTTCTTTAAAATAAATCAGACGAGAACTAAACAGTTAATGAAAATGTCAACATTTAATCCTCCTATTGACGAAAACAATGACCATTTATTTACGTAAAACTTGATTGTTTGCTGTCTTACAGCTTGCTAACTGCTTGTTTACGAGATGTCCACAAACCTTATTGAAATGCTTCTATATCCATTAAAAATAGAACTCACTAGTTTTGTGCAATAAAAATGCATTGTTTAAATGTTAGATATATTTTTTATTTCAGCTATGCCCTCTATTATGCTAATATTAATTTCTTTTTATAGATTTTATATTATGAATCTAATTATGGATTGAGGATATTTCGGGATAAGTGTGCCCAAATTTCATCTTGCACTGTTCATACACTTTTCTTTGACATTGATCCTATGTCCTTTAAGTTGCCCTCATTAAAGTTTTTTTGCTAATTCACCGCATCAAGTGTGGCGCTGAAACGAACACTACATTAGAAACCTTCTACTGAAGGTTGGTGGAAAGTAAATGCTAAAAAAATTATATGAGAGACGAGGGAGAGAGGCTTTGGCGTGGTAACTCGTGATCAACATCAAATCTTTGTTGTCGCCTTTAGAGGAAGATGTTCTGCCAGCTCGACACCGTCAATGGTGGTGGCTTTAGCATTGCTCCAGGGCGTCCACATTACAAGACAAATGGGTGGATCAAGGGTGGAGTTTTGAGTTAGATGTCAAGCTAGTGTTTATGAGTTTAATGAAGGTCAATATAGCCTGACAGCATTTGGACATAGTTGCAAGGCTATTCTCTTGGAGGGTAACAATCTACTCTCTTGGAGGCTAACAATCTACTTCAATGTTAGTTCCTTTTCACTCATAGGAACGGCAATAGGATAGCTTGCTCTATTGCTAATTTCAGTGCTACAATAGCATTTGTTATTCTTAAATTTCTTGTCCTGAGTTCATCATTTGAGATCTATATCATGATGTAATTTCTATTAATTCAAATTAATGAAATCCATGCTTCTAAAAGAAATTTGCTCCTCTAATGAGATGGACAAGGAGGGAGGGTTGGTAATAGGTGAGAGAGGGTATGAGAGTGCGTGTGAGTTAGGATGAAGGAAGGTGTGGAATTGTAAGTCCTCTTCTCTCCTTTCCAAAAGTTTTAATTATCAAATTCCAATCCAAACCTTTATAAAATCCCTTGTCCCTGCCCCATTTTTCTCCCACGTCTAAACCCTCATTTAAATCTAGTCCATTTTCATTTTTTCTAAGATCAATCAACCTCAATAAGCTAAAAAATAGATGAAGAAATATTAGTCCTAGGCAAAGGACAGGCCATAGCAGAGCTAAGCATCATTGTTAGATCCTCCGTGATAAGATCCAGTGAATAACCAAGTCATAGACGTCGCCTACGCCCTCTAACGTTAGGGGAGGTCCCTCTACGATTTCATCGGTTAGGATAGGATTTCATTCTAGTCTCTTGGTAGTTCTTGCTTGCTTGCTTCTATTGTTGTAAATTTAGTTTAGAAGTCTACTTGTTATATATATTAATTGTAAGCTTTTCCTCTAGATTATGGAATAAGACAACTATTTTGTGTATTTATCCCCTAAATATGTGGTCTGTTACTAACTATAATCATTGAACATGTGATTATAACTTCTAGGGGGTAATTCTTCACTAGAAGGGTAATGTGAGGATGAGGTTTGTAAATTAGTGAAAATTTTCCCCACTTGTTTAGATTGATACTTATAATTATGTTAGTTTTCTAGTCTTATATTGGAGAGAAGACTAGCTATGGCTATCTTCTTTACAGTGCATTATTGAGTTTTACCAACATATCACATGGTATTGACTGAAATTATTTTTATTTTTCACAAAAAAAGTTAAATGTTTTTGCAAACATCTTTAGTTTCTTCTTGTGTCCCGTTTGGTGTATCGCTTTCTTAGGAAGTGGATTTTATAATCTGTCAAACACTTTGACAACAAATTCGGGAGGGCTCAAGAGGATATGACATTAGTTTGGATTTGGTTTCCTCTCAATGATCACTAGTGTGCACCCCCTTTATTTTTTATTTCCGCTACAATAATTTTGTATTCAAATACAGTTTTGTCAGTGCTAAGTAACATTTTTCCAATGCTACAGTACCCATCCTAAGCTACAGTACTAATGCTACAGTAATTTGCTGTAGCATGAACGGATAGGTCCTCCTGTTTTGCTACAATAACAATGCAATAGTAATTTACTGTAGCATTGCTATAGCATGAATAGTGATTCTTGGATCATCCTATTATTATAGAGGAATAGATTCCACCAACTAATATATAGCTTAAATTAAAAAGCTATATTCCCTTGCTCCATTTTGTTCAATGTACAATTATTTACAATGTTAGAGACTTAGAGGTTCTAGAGTTTATTTCTCTCTTCTATGGTCTGAGAGCATTCTATTTAGCAAATAAATATAATTTCCCAATAAAATTTATACTTGTTAACATGTTCCTTTTATTCTACAGTTTTCTTGTTTGTGAGCTCTAATTTATGTTGTTTTCATGTTTAACTTTGTTTGCTACATGTGATTTTCTTAATTGGGTGTTTATATTTGCATTTTTTCTGCATGTTTTATTTGTCTCAAGGCATTGATTGCAATATACTTATATCCTCACTCATCGTCAGTTCCTAACTTAGAGTTCAATTATGATCCCTTAATGATTATCAATTCATTAAATATTTATTGGTTTTGTTATCGAAATAAATATACACTGGTTTAGTAATTCCCTAATTGCAACCACAATTTTGTACAAACCAAATTGCAAGGAGAGAAAAAACCTTAAATGAAAAGTCATAATCTCAACAACCTAATATATATTGCAATGAA